AGGATTAGCAATGCTGCTATTACCATCCTCATGTATGTCTTTTTGGGCACAAATTATCTGTTCAACTTTAGTTTTGCCAAATTATTCTCTAATATGGTTTTGCTAATTTCACCAGCAATTATGTTGTGAGGATGCCTCCTGTGTAAGTACCCCAAATCATGTAAAATTATTAATAATATATTTAATGTCACTCTTATGAGTATAAAATGTTATCCCATTATTATTTATTTTGCATCTCTCTTATTCCCATAAGGCTGAATATCTTTTTATATGTTTATCAGCCATTTGGATTTTTATTTCTGTGAGATGATATCCTTTGCCCATTATTTATTTCTTATTTTTTTATCTTTTTCTTATTGATTTATTGGCATTTTACACAATATTTTCAATACTAGATCCTTTGTCTGTTAATTGTCCATAATCACATTTATCATATTTTTTTTCTATGGCACCTATACACTAGTTCTTATGCCTTTCCATGGCTATATAAAATGTGATCTGTGGGCCATCACCAGTAGCAGAAGCAGTAAGGAATGTGTTAAAAATGCACATTTCCTATGCCTACCCTAGACCTGTGGAATCAGATTCTGAATTTTAATAAGATCACTAGGTGATTTGTATGCACATTAAAGATTTTAAAATACTGGATTAGATAATTAAGAAAGAACAAAAGTGCAAAATTTCCTCTCTTGGGTAATAAATATCACAACAGTTCCCACCTGTCTTCTGACTCTTCTTCTTTATACATAAAACTTCCTGGCTTTGGACTTAACACTCTCAATTTGTATATCCTAGAGGTGCACTAAAAAAATTCAGAGATGGGCGGAGCCTGTGGCTCAATGGAGTAGGGCACTGACCCCATATGCTGGAGGTGGTGGGTTCAAACCTAGCCCTGGCCAAAAATTGCAAAAAAAAAAAAATTCAGAGATCAGAGAAGTTATTAGACTCTGTTTTGTAAATTTAGATGTCTATGGGATTTCACAGTGATGTCTGAAAAGTAAAGACACACCTGTTGCTCTGATTCCAAATGGAGAAATAAACAGCAATAGCAGCTGTATTATAATGTAACTCAAAAAGCAAGCCTTGGGCGTGTTGGTGAATGCTGTCAAGAAATAAACAAATTCAGCTAGGAAGCATAATCCATCAAATGTCTTCCTTGCTTCCTTGTTAATGCATGCCACTATTTTTGGCTGACACAAAATACTCCAGAAATGAATGACAACTGAAATTAATAGAGGAAATTGCCAAGACTTATACATGATGTCAGATGTGTTATGACTTCTGTGTTTCAACACGATTTCCTGAGGAGTATGTGAGTGTTTGGCCACCTATGAAGGGGGCACAAAAAGAGCACCCAATCACAGCTGAGAGTTATAAAATTATACCTTAAAAGGCCCTGCCTTCTCCAACATGAGGGAGGAGACGCCAGAGGCTGAACCCATCCGACTGAAAGGATTGCACAGAGGTATTTACTACTCTCTGAATATCCATGGGTTCTCCCACATTTCCCAGTCCCTGTGTTCATAAAGGCACATAGCACTTGGACCTTGCCAATGGGTTGTGAGGAGTAGAAACATGGCACTTTTGGCCTGAAACATTTAATTGTCCACTTCCTCTCCCTTTGGCCACACTCCAGCAACCACAAAGGTCATGGGTGGCAAAAAGTGTGGCTACAAGGTTGTTGAACCTCCCTCAGTAGGCTGGACCTATACATGGCCAGGTGAAACAGATCCACCGCACTAGCCCATACTGGACATGTAGCATTAGTGAGAAAGAAACTTCTTCATTTGTGTTAAGCCACTGAGATTTGGGTGTTGTTTGCGTTGCATCATTGCATGGATTATGCTGGCTAATATAGTGAGCACAGCTGACTCTTCCGTATTAGTAATGGCTAACAGTACTGAGTGCTACACTGTTCCAGGTGCCAAGCTGTAAGTTTTACACATATTACTTAATGTCTCACAACAACCTTCTGAGATACATTATAGTATTATCAAATAGTATATGACATATATGCTCTAAGGCTGTAGCATAGAGCATTCAGGGGTCCTCAAACTTTTTAAACAGGGATCCAATTCACTGTCCCTCAGACTGTTGAAGGGCCGAACTGTGGGCCCCGGGATGAGTCAGCTGCTAAGCAGGACAGGCAGCGGTGGCAAAACACCTGGTGGGCCAGATAAATGTCCTAGGCAGGCTGCATGTGGCACGTGGGCTGTAGTTTGAGGACACCTGACATGATATATGTGATATAGTTCTAAATCATATATCTCAAGAGTAGATAAAGATGTACCACCTATATCAATAGTATACTGTCAAAGGTGGTCATTCTTTCTCTCATCACTCCTTTTACCTAAGGCCAGTCTCCCCATGTGCCTCACATTATTCATTATTCTTTCACCCTCCTGGGATCTGCACTCTCTCCTCATTCATTCATTTTGGCCCTTCAGCAGTCTTTTTTTTTTTTTTTTTTTGCAGCTTTTGGCCAGGGCTGGGTTTGAACCTGCCACCTCTGGTATATGGGGCCAGTGCCTTACTTCTTTGAGCCACAGGCACCGCCCCCTTCAGCATTCTTGAGTCTCTCCAAGTTTAACCAAGCCCTCCATCCACCTCACGTTCCCATCGCCTCCTACGCCATCGTTATCTCTTATCTCTAAAGCTTTCCACCCTAATTTCATTCCCCCAGCTTCTCCCACTCACCAATCACTCCAAAATTGTTTCTTCTTCCAGCTCTCCACCAAACGGCTCTTTCCAGCACTGCCAATGATAACTCTATTTCTAAATTCAGGGGGTATTTTATTCTCAACTTATTTAATTTTTTTGACCCCAATGACCATACCCTCTTGTTGAAACACTGTTCCATAGGCTCTCCCTCTGGGGCCACTCTATGTCCTTTTCAGCTTCATCATCTTCTGCAGAGCTGTTAAATTTTGGCATTCTTCACTACCTATTCTATCCTCTTTTGTCTTCTCATTTTATAGTGGCTTTCCAGTCTTTCACCAAGACTTTCCAGTTCTCAAGCCTGCTAATACCACATAGACTCAGGCACTCCCTAAATATGTGCCTTCATCTGGGGCTTATGCTCAGTGCCTCCATTTTGATGTCTTAATGTGCTTAAGACTGAACTCATCATGTTGTCCTCACCCCACCTACCTAACTCCAGGTTTACCTGTTCTTTCCTCAATATTTCACATCTTAGTAAATGGCACCACTGTCCTGTGTATGTTGGAAATCTGAGAGTAGGGCTACATCAATACCTTTGGGGGCACTCAGCACCAAAATGTGCTTTATTGTATTTGAAATAAAAACAAAGCATATCACAACAAAAGTAAGTCTTTAAAAATTCTCATTTTTCCCATGGTAACAATTATGATGCTTTTAAAATGAATAGCAAATCCTATTCCAAATAACCTCAGGACCTCTCTTCACTGGTGCTCTAAGAGCTATTTGACAGTCCAGCACTGTCTAGGAGTCAATAATTAGACACTATCTCCTGCTGAATCTACCACTAAAGTATTTTCAAATATGCCTCCTCCTCTTGTTGTCAATGAACGGTATTCCAAACCAGCCTGACCACTTGTCTGAAATTCTGCAATAGCCTCTGGAGAATCCTGCTCACTTCTCCAATTTATTGTCTACAAAGCAGCCAGGCCAGGCAGAATGATTTCAGGAACACACGTAACTCATTGTGTCCTGTCAATCCACTGATTAAAACCTCTCAGTGGTTCCCCATTGTCCTTAGAATAAAATCTCAGAACCTTAAGAGGCATAAGACCCTGCCACATTTCCAGGAACTGACCTCACTTCTTTGAGCTAGTAGACAGAGCCAAACATTGAAGGAGCTTTACCATACAATTTACTCTCTGCCTAGAGCTCTCTGACCCCTTCCAGCTTTTCCTTTTTCAATTCTTAGATTCAATGTCATTTCTTCAGATAAGCTTTTCTTAACCTCCCACACCAGGTCAATTTTCCTTGTTAAACACTTTTTTAGTAACCCTCAATTTGCTTTGTAAGTAAATGATTATTTGTGTAAGGAGCATTTTAATATCCCCTCCAATTTTAGTGCAAACTTCCTGAGAAATATTTGGAAACACACTCTACTACACAAGAGTAATCCAGCCATCCTTGAATACAGTAATCCAGGGATCTCTGAATGCAGCTTTGTCTGATTCTAGTACTAATGACTACATAAATCTACTCATCCTGGAAGATGGATTTTTGTCTCTTCATTTTATGATGTCCAAGCTTGGATGAATGGGAAACTACGTTTTGAGTAGCTGAGCAAATTCTGAAGTAATGATATTGTGCTGTTGGTGAATCCCTTTGTGTGACTACAGGCTGAACTAACTGAAGTGGACTCCATTTCTCCCACTGTATCATCTCCACATCCTTAAACAGGAATGACATCAACCATCTTTCAGGGTCGTAATGGTACTCATTCATTCAATAAATATTCAATGAGCATCTTGGATGTGCCTGATCTTGGTTTAGATACTGGGGATGCAAATGACATTTAGGATGTAAGGCAAGTGGAAGCTAAGTAAAAAAGAAAAGAAACTAACAAAATAAAGCGTTTAGCATAGTGCCTGTGTCATTTAATGCTACAGATGGCCACCGTTACTACAAGCATTATAATAACTGCGTGTCCTCATTTGCTCACGTCTCACAGCTCTCGCGAGAGTTTACTAGATTTGTGACGTTTGTCGCTTGGCGGCAGTTCACTGTGGCACCACGAGCTAGTCAGCAGGAGCCTGCGCACTTTAAAGCATCACAGCCCCACGTGGCTGCTCCTCTACTCTGGGTCTTTAGAGGGCGCGCGGTCTCTACCATCTCGCGCGCTGCCATCTGCGCCTGCGCAGCAACCGTCGCCGGCCTCCGCGCTCCTCCCCCAGGCCTCGTGCTCTAACGCTCCGCCTCCGTTGCCCCTAGCGGTCGTTTGTTGACTTCCGGGAGCGCAGTAGTAGTAGATGCCCGGAGCGTCCCTATGGGAATCTGGGGGGGTTTCGCGGCCGGGGTCGGCGCTGAGGCGTTGCTCTAGGCCCCACCGACTCTCCCCGGTCACACTTTTGACCCAGGTGCAGGCTTCTCGTAATCCTCACAGCATGGAAGATCGCAAGGGGCTGGTGCCGGGTAAGTAACGGCTGAAGCGGTGGCCGCCGGCCGGGAGGGAGGGTCCGCGGGCGGGAGGGCGGGCAGGCCCCGCCTGTGGGCCGGTCTTGTCGGGGGATAGGCCCGAGCCATGGCGGCTGATTGGGGCTGGAGCTTTAGCCGCGCCCCCCGCCGCTGCTGAGGGGAAGAGGGCGGCAAGGATGGGATGGGACGCCGGGGAAGGGACTTCACTGTAAAAAAAACTACGCTTTGGATGAGTTTCGCGAAGGCAAGGGCACTTTTTACTTCGGTAAACTTTTCAAACTTTCAGACTTGGCGGTCCACAGGACTCGCTAACGTATTAAATGTTATAAAGAGTGGGTGACTTAGGGATACGAGGTAAAAGGGAATAGAGGAAAGGAATTGGATGAAGCAGGGGAGGATGGAAATTTTAGCGCGTGTTTTTTCTTTATTTTTACCAGACTTTCCCCCCGACCTCTATAGTTAGAAATATATTTGGCATTATGACCGGCTACCGCGTTTGGTTCACTTTGGGAGGTTGAGGCAGGAGGATCACTTGAGGTAGGGGGTTTGAGACCAGCTTTGGCGACATAGCTAGACGACCCCCCGTCTTTACAAAAACTTTTATTTTTTTAACTTTTTTTTTTTGGCCGGGGCTGGGTTTGAACCCGGTACCTTCGGCATATGAAGCCAGCGCCCTACCCTTTTGAGCCACAGGCGCTGCCCTACAAAAACTTTTTTTTTGGTGGGGCGGGGGCGGGGGAGAACGGAGTCTCTGTCGCCCTGGGTAGTTCTGTGACGTCATCACAGCTCACCGCGACCTCAGACTCTTGGGCTCGAGCGATCCTCTTGCCTTAGCGCCCCCCACCCCAGTAGCAGGGACTACCCACGCCCGGCTATTTTTTCTATTTTTAGTAGAGATGGGGTGTATACTTGGTATTGTGACCGGGTACCGCATTGGGTACCGCGTTTGGGTCACTTTAGGAGGTTGAGGCGGGAGGATCACTTAAGGCTGGGAGTTCGAGACCAGCTTGGGCGACATAGCGAGGTGACCCCCGTCTTTACAAAAACTTTTTTTTTTTAAGTTTTGGCTGGGGCTGGGGCCGGTGCCCTACTCCTTGAACCGCTGAGGACGCCCCCAAAACTTTTTTTTTTTTGAGACAAAGTCTCCCTATGTTGCCCTCAGCGGAGTGAAATGGCGTCACAGCTCACGGCAACCTCAAACTCTTGGGCTTAAGCGATTCTCTTGCCTCAGCCTCCCAAGTAACTGGGACTAACAGGTGCCTGCCACAACGCCAGGCTGTTTTTTTTGTTGTTGTTGTAGTTATTATTGTTGGTTGGCAGGCCTGGACTAGGTTCGAGCCCCTCAGCCCCCGTGTATGTGGCCTGCGCCTTAGCCACTGAGCTACCAGCGCTGAGCCATTTTTTTTTTTTTTTGCAGTTTTTGGTGGGGCTGGGTTTGAACCTGCCACCACCTCCAGTATAGGGGGGGGGGGGGGTGGCGCCCTACTCCTTTGAGCCACAGGCGCCACCCACTTTTTTTTTTAAGACAGTCTCTTTTTCTCGCTCTGGGTAGTGCTGTGAGCTCACAGCAACCTCAGTAGTACAGGACTCTTGGGCTCAAGCTATCTTCTTGCCTCAGCCTCCCCCCACCCCAGTAGCTGGGATTATTGGTTCCTGCCACAACACTCGACTGTTTTTTTCTATTTTTAGTAGAGGTGGGGTCTTGCTCAGGCTGGTCTTGGCGGAACTCCTCAGCTCAGATGATCCGCCCACCTCAGCCTCTGAGAATGCTGTGATTATGGTGTGCCCACCCCTGTGCTATAAAACCTTTTTAGAAGGAAATTAGCTGAGTGTGTTGGCATGCCACTGTAGTCTCAGCTAATGGGGAGCCTGAGGCTGTAGGGTCGCTTGAGCCAGGACTTAAAGGCTGCAGTGAGTCATGATCATGTCACTGCACTCCAGCGTAGGTGACAGAATGAGACCCTGTCCTCCCTCCGCAAAAATAAAAAAAGAAAAGAAATAGATGGTTAATGAAGCAGTACTTGTTTTAGCAACTTGCTCAGAGCTTTTCTATAATATGTTCCTTTAAAAATGCAAATCGTGATTGGCTAAATTAATTTTCTGACTAACTAAAGGTTTATGACTAATATTTTGAAAAAAACAAAACACTAGGTTTGAACAGAATATACCTTCACTGAAATATATGTTTTCTTTCATGCTCCTAGCTGGGATATGGTTAGATTTCTGGCCTCCTGGAGTTAACAGTTTGGTGAGCTATATGAAAAAGTGAACAAAATGATAATATAGTTTGATAGTAGATGCCACAGGGCCAGACCAGAGCCAACAACACCTGGCTTAGGTTGTGGGTGTCAGGGAAGGTTTCCTGGGGAGCTAGGGCAAAACAGTTAAAATGATTGATTCTGGGGAAATCCAGAGCTTATTTCAGGTCCCAGCCTCCCCACTTTCAATTATTTAGAACCGAGGTGGCTCACAATGGTTTTCAAAAGGTTTTCCATAGTGGCTAGTCTCCTGTGCATTAATATTTATTATTAATACTTATATTCACTATGTTTTCATTTCTTATATGTTTCAGTTTCTTTATATGTTATCATCTTCCTTGCTATTTCCTTGGAAGATGGATCTGGTCTCCTGTTGGGTGTACGTGAATATATAAGTGGTTATTGGGAACTGGTAGTGGGTTTTGGTCTCTCTTCAAAGTGGTACAGGACCAAATCAATTTGTGAATACTACTTTGGTTAGGTAATGACTTAATTTAAGAGTGCTGAATCTCAACATTCCTCTAGTGATAGCCTCCTTCCCAGTTTCCTAGGAATGGGGTATTTTGTGATGGTGTGTTGGGAGACAAAATAAATCATGTTTTCCTAAGCAGTATTTACGGAGAGAGAAAAAGACATCTCTAGCTACAAAACATGAGTAATGAACTTTTGGAGTAGCTCTACTGATAGGATCCTTTCATTTTGTACTTGATCCCTTGTTTATTCTGAATTCTTGGTAGAAATGTTCAGGAGGAGCTGAAATGCTTCTCTGTTGAAGATTTGGGTAATATGCTGTCTTTTACATTAAAAGCCTTGAAAGTTAAATTTGAAAACCTCCTCACCATTATGATGACCTAAAAACAGTTATGAATATATGTGTGTGTAAGGGGGAACTTTTCTGTGTGAAAAGTAAAACAGACTTAAAAAATAGCTAGTGTTTATTGAAGGACTACATTGTCCTAAGCAATATGGGTAGTGTATATAATCTATGGTCCCAGTAACCTTAGCATGTAGTTGAGAAAACAAAATATTGATCAACAAAAAGATTTGTGTAACAGTTTAATTAGAGAGGTTGCAAGGTAGTGCATAATTAATTGCCATATAAATCACACAGATTATATAGTTCAGAGAAGCCAATGATCGTTTCCACCTATTATGGTAGAAGAAGGGGTTACAGAGGCGGCTGTGAGCTAGTGTGTTGGAGATGTAGGCACTGTACTAGGTTCTTTATACAGGTCATTGCATTTAATCCTTACAACAATCCTATGAGATTGGTATAGCCTCATACTTATACAATTGTCAACACATTGTACATTTATTTGGCCAATCTCTGTTGGGTTCATATTATATAAAAAGGAGTATTATTATCTATACCCTAGTCTGATAAAGACCATAACTATTGAAGATGAATCTAAGTCTCAGTGAAGTGACCTGTTTCGGATCACATAACTAATTACAAGCAGTGTGATAATTTGAATGTACACCTTTAAAGCCTATGTTTATTTTTTTTTTTCTAGCTGACTTCTCATAAGGCAAATGAAAGGGGTAGTGTTTGAATAACTTGTTTCTCTTGTTCTTGCTTTTAGTTTTATGGGTATCAATTGGGATTACCAATAGAGAAATTAAGAGTTGACCTTTTGGGGTAATATTCCTTCCCTTGCATGATAGCACCAGAGGTTCCTTGGAAAAATAAAACCAAAGAAAGATGTCCTCTTCCTGTGGATATCCTGAGGATTCTAATGAAGAAACTATTAATACTGTCCTATTTGAGGTGTAGAAAAAAGCCCTTAGTTGAGGGCCAGACTACAAGGTGTTATCCAGAGGAAGTAGTGCATGAATTGTATGAATTATTTCCAGGGAATAGATGTCCACCTGGTAACAGAGCTATTAGTAACAGATGACTGCCTTCCTTGTGGTAGTGTAGTTCTTACTTTATACCAGTAAATAAATAATACATGTTCAATTAAGTAGATTTCATATATCAAACTAGAGTGAGGTCTGAGAAGTAAGACTGAATTAAGGTGGAAGAAGGAGGGCTTAAATATTGCAAGAGGTTTGGATATGGATAAATTGCCAAAAAAATATTTTAGAACATTGAACATAGTAAAAGTTGTAAAATAGAAACCATCTTATATTTGCAGATTCTGGTGCTGTGTTTACATTTGGAAAGACTAAATTTGCTGAAAATATTCCCAGCAAATTCTGGTTTAAAAGTGATACACCTATATGTCTTTCATGTGGAGATGAACATAGTGCTATTGTTACAGGTTAGTATTACAATCCTAAATGAGGACAATAATACTTTAATAATCCTAAATATAATAGATGTGCTGTGTTTTAAATATGTTAAAGATATATAGGAAATGTTTTTTTACTTTGCCAGAAAATTCTTCACAAATTTATACATCAAAAGTCTTAAATTTTTAGTTTGCCTAGTATATTTGCGTATATGTTCTATACACAAAACTTTATAGAAATAAATATATTTCAATATAATTAAAAAACTGTTCCTTATAATCTTAGAAACTCTTTTATACCTCATACATCTGGTTATACATAGATGGACAAGGTAACCTGTTTCAACTTTGAAAGGAATGACATTTTTTAAGTGTAGCTTTTTAATGCTTTATGATGACTTCATCTTATATTAAGTGAAAAATGCTTTAATTTATTATTTCTTTTTCTCTCTCACCAGGAAATAATAAGCTTTACATGTTTGGCAGTAACAACTGGGGTCAGTTAGGATTAGGATCAAAGGCAGCTGTCAACAAGCCAACATGTATCAAAGGTTTGGGGTCGTTTCTTATTTATCATTTTAATTCTTAAACTATATAAAAGTACTTTTATATTGATTGTGTAGTTTTTAATACCATAACTAATAAAGCCTTTAGTTCTTTATTTTCTGACATTTGCTTGAATATTATTAGCACTTAGCTTCATTTTATATGATATTCAAAACTACTTTAATATGTTTGTTCAAAAAATCGCATTGTTAAACCCAGGGACCACAAAGGAAATAATGATTCTACATTATTATATCCTTTTTTTTTTTTGCTTGTTTATGAAACTACTTAAACATTGGCTCAGTGCCTGTCACTCCATAGTTAGGGTGCTGGCCACATACACTGCGGCTGGCGGGTTCTAACCCAGCCCGGGCCTACTAAAAACAACAATGACAACTACAACAAAAAAGCTGAGCATTGTGGTGGGCGCCTGTAGTCCCAGCTACTGGGGAGGCTGAGGCAAGAGAATTGCTTAAGCCTAAGAGTTTGAGGTTGCTGTGAGACCACAGAACTCTACTGAGGACGACATAGTGAGACTCTGTCTCAAAAAAAAAAAAACTACTTAAACATTACTATCTCTCATTTAGTAGAGTTATGAACATGCTACTTCTGTTTAGTTGCTACTTTTGTAAAACATGCTTATCCTGCTATGTATAGTGAGTACATGAACTGAACAAAACATTGAGACTAAGGGTTGATTGATAGTGGTATAAAATAACAGGACAATATATTTGAAATCAGGGTTGTTCTGGAAAATATTGGAAGTGTAATACCCGTACAAAGCTTTCTTGCTGTTATGTGCAAAGCCTCTGTTTGGGTATAACCTATGAACACCAAGTGAACTTGAGAGGGTAATGGAGATTTCTTAAGATATGACAAGAGCACTATTCTTTATCTTCCTAGCCAAATTTTAAATTTCACCTCAACATTTCAGTGCACATTGTCATATTAATCAAAAAGTATTTATTAGGCACAGTCTACTAAACATATTGGAGTATTCACAGTTATTATCATCTTTACTGTAAAATATCTAATAGAGAAGCTTAACAGTATTGTCTTGGCTATGAGATCTTTGAGACCAGAGACTCTAGCTTAGAGGTCTTTGCAGCTCCTATGCCAAGCACTTAGAAGATTTGAATGAACAACTTTAACTTTGGTATGCAAATATATGCAAATGAATATTGATTGGTCTTACAGTTTTTCATCAAGTTTGCTGGAAGGTGAGCTTAATAATGGTGATGGCAGGTTAGGTTGTGGATTAGGTTGGTGAGGAAGCACCATAATAGAATGCAGTGGATCTCAGCACATATTAATTGCCTGTGGAGTTTCTAAAAATATATAGATGTGTAGGCTTTACCTTAGGCCCACTGACTCAGATTCTCCAGGGATAGTGCTCTGTTATGTGTATTATTTCCTAAGTTCCACTGGTTATTATGATGTATAACCAGTTCTGAAAACCTCTGATTTAATAATTAAAAACATTGACTTTGGAATCATATAGATCTGCTTTTTAAATCTCATGTCAACCACTAAGTTACCATTTGACCCAGATTATTGATCATTTTCATTACCATACGGTAATTGTCATTTTTTTTTTTTTACATTTTTTAGCTCTAAAACCTGAAAAAGTGAAATTTGCTGCCTGTGGAAGGACCCACACCATAATTTCAACAGGTATAGTATTTAGCCCATGTAATTTCCTGCCCAAGTTTGAGAACTGAGGTCTCATTCCAATAACATGTAGCTTTATAACACTAATAGAAACTGTACCTCACTGTAACACTGAAATTAGAGTTTTTAAAAATGTAAATGGTTAGTACACTCTGCCTTCACAATGTGTACATAGATATTAAATGGTTGAAAGAAAAGCTTCTCTTTTTTGGATTAAATCAGGGGACAGCATCTTCTTACCTGTGTGCACACCATTATGGGCTGGTTGTTCCTTTTCTTGCTCTTACCTCTTTCTTACTGAAAGTAAGTGGAAGCCTTCCAAAAAGCTGTTGATTTGAGGGAACATGATTCCAATCAAAATCTAAAACAGGTTATGTGTGTGCATGTTTGTAGAAATTGACAAAGGACATCTAATAGTTTTGAAAAAGAACAAAATTAGGGACTGGCACTACCTGATTTCAAGGCACACTGTAAATCTACCATAATCATGTTATTGGCAAAAAGATGGACAAAGATTAATGGAACAGAATAGAGTCCAGAAGTAGACCCATATGTATGTACCTAACCACCATGCCTCTTTATAGTTTTCCCTGTCTGAAATATCTTTTTTCTTTCTCTCACCTGTTCATACTCTTATCTTTTGAAATCCCCCGTAAGTCTTACTTCTTCCGTGGAACATTTTATGACTATCCCACTTTTTACTCATCTAGTTTTCTGAGTTATTTTAGCATTTCACCAACTTTGGTTTGTTCCAGCTGTGTTAAATTATACAATCCAGTTCCATGTGACCTTGTACCTACCTTTTGAAATCTAGTCTTGTTTCCTCAATTAGGTTTTATTTTTTTCCTAATTAGGAAATGGAGGGAAGGGGAGGGAAAGGGGAAGGGAGGGGAGTGGGTTGATAGAGGGAGGTAGATAGAGGTTGGTAGGGGGACCACATCAATGAAGCATAATGCAAGTACAAGTTGGATCTTGTAGAGGTTAAATGTCTTACTCCCATAATTGGGTAAATGAGGTGAGGCTATATTATTTAGTAGGATTAAGCATTCCAATTTATACAAATAATCAACACATTGAATCCCATAATGGCGTAACTGTACTTATGATATGTGCATGAATGACTTAATAATAAAAAAATCTAATTTTAAATTTTTACTCCTTTACACTGATTTTTCCCTGATTTACCCCTATAATTTAGCAAGGTTTTAGCTTTATATGTATTATGATACATATAACTAATTTAATATATGTCTGTTAAAAGTCTTCATTAATTTAGGGCTTACTAAGTGTTTATGATATAAACATGATGTACTTTTTATTCAAGAGTGTAATTAACATATATAATTTACAGTGTGCCAAATATTCTAAGAATTTTATGTCATCTAATTTAATGTTTATGAAGTAGGTACTATTATTCCCATTTGTAGATAAGGAAAATGAGGCACAGAGAGGTTAAGTACAGCTTTTCCAAGGTCCCCAGCTGGTAATGGCAAGCCCGAATTTGCACCCAGGCAGTCTGGCTCTGGAGTCTTTCTTCCTAAACACAGTGCTATACCCCTCTCCTATTTACAGAGAAAGTCAAAATAACTATACAACATAGAATTATCATGTTTCTGATGTATTATTATTATTGGATTTGCCTCATTTTACTTACTTATACTATTGTTATATGTCCTATCATAGCTTTAATGGGTATAGAAGTTAAAATTAATGAACTACATCTTTTAAAATAGTTTTGATTTTTAAACTAATTTGGAAGTTACTTTCCTCATTTTTACTCTGAATTAATAAAGTGTGGTATAGCAAGAAAATACATAGATTCTGTGCATTTGAATTACTTGTTAAACTCCAGAATAGTTTCTAAAATCTCACAAAAATGTATGGCCTTGATTGTTTTGTTTTATTTTATTTTTGACAATGAAATGAAGTTGTGCACCAAAAAATAGGATAATGATAGCTTTCAACTTTCTTCACTGTTAACAGAGGTAATAGCTATTATATATTGACCTGTTCATAAAGGGGGTGACTATCATGTATTAATATTTTCTTTTCTATGTGTAGAAGGCGGCAATGTTTATGCAACTGGAGGAAATAATGAAGGGCAGTTGGGACTTGGTGACACTGATGAGAGAGACACTTTTCATTTGATAAGCTTTTTTACATCCCAGCACAAGATTAAACAGCTTTCTGCTGGATCTAATACTTCAGCTGCACTAACTGGTGAGACTTGTTTCCATTTCAGTCTGGGACATACCCTTTCCTTCAGAGCAAAACATACCAACTCAGTAAACCAGGACAACACTGCTGTTTAATTTTCTTTCATTCACTGTGGGCTTTCAGAAGACATTTAAAATAAACTTTAAATCTCTACGTATGTTGCAATTTTATGCTTATTTAGAATTAGGTGTAAAAGTAAATTTAGAAATAATTGGTAAATAAATTCTAAGCTGTGCTGTCCATCTATTCCTTTAAATATTTTTATAATTTTCATTGTGTGCTCTAAAAGTTATACTTGCAGCTTTTAATAGTAACTGAACTTACTATTAGAAATATCCGTAGAAATGTGTTGCAGCTTATGTTGTTAAAAAATGGTTTGTAACAATCATTGTACTTCTTTGCCTTCCCTATCAAAAGCCTATGTGGGAAATTTCTTAAAACTTTAGAGCCAAGAATAGCTTGAAGCAGACCAAGGGCACTGAAGCTCCTGGTCACCTACTTTGTCTGAAGTGGGAGACTGTAACCTCTGGTGGTGGTGTGACTGTCAGGAAAGTCAAAGTCATATCTGAAGCTCCAGTTTTTAAATATTGTATACCATATAGTTCTATCCTTCTTTCAGTGCTTATTTTTCAAGTATCATTTTATTTGCCTTATTATTAAACCACTTGAAAGATTAAAAACTTTTTAATTAATTAAAATAATCTCAGCACTCTGGGAGGACAAAGTTAGGTGGATTGCCTAAGCTTAGGAGTTCAAGACCAGCCTGACCAAGAGTGAGACCCCTTCTCTACTAAAAGTCGGAAAACTACCTGGGTTTTGTGGCAGGTGCCTGTAGTGCCAGTTACTACAGAAGGCTGAGGCAAGAGGATTTCTTAAGCCCAAGAATTTGAGGTTGCTATGAGCTATGTCACCATGTCTTGTTACCCAGGGCAGCAGAGTGAGACAGTGTCTCAAAAAAAAAAAAAAAAAAAAAAAGATGTAAGTAAATAAATCTCGATGATTCCTTTCTAAAATATTTTTTCTAGACTTTTTTGTCTGACATCAAAATCCTTATCAGAAATAATATAAGTTATCCTATTTTTGAGATGCTATTATACCCTCATTCTCTGAAACTCGATTCTTTGTTTTCAGGTATAAATTGTAAGAAAAAGAAGTCAGAGAAATATATTTCTTTTCTCCTTTTATTTTTCTAAAGCATCATTTCCACGATGCGCTCAAGAGCAGGGTCTTCTAGGCCCTTTTCATCTGGAGATGTCTAGTTTGACTGATGTTGCTCAGTTCAGTTTCAGGTAGACTGGTTGGAAGGAGAAGAATATTTCTGTTTAGAAACATTGTAATGAAAAAATACAACTATAGGAAAGGCCATTCTGTCTTTGCTATTGAGATAAAAATATGAATATGACTAATATCATTTACAATTAGGCTATTCTCTGTCTTTATCATTATAGAAGCATTTCACAATGGAAATTGAACTTCTACGTAGCTAGCTGGTATAAATATTCTAATAGTGCTTTTCTGGCTTGGCGCCCCTAGCACAGTGGTTACAGTGCCAGCCACATACACCATTGGCACATTTGAACCCAGCCCAGGCCAGCTAAACAACAATGACAACTGCAACAAGAAATAGCCAGGCATTGTGGTGGCTATTTCTGGCACCTGTATTGTCCCAGCTACTTGTGAGGCTGAGGCAAATGAATTACTTAAGCCCAAGAGTTGGAGGTTGCTGTGAGCTGTGACACCAGGGCACTCTACCGAGAGAGACATAGTGAAACTCTGTCTCAGAAAAAAGCAATACTGCTTTTCTGTCAAGACACATAATTTTTGTAAATTAAAAAAAAAAAAAGCGATGGGTTGGAAGCTAAAATAGCTTGAGAGCCCTGCTACCTTTTCAAACCTTTTCTCCTCCTTGTGTTTTCTTTTTAGAGGATGGACAACTTTTTATGTGGGGTGACAATTCTGAAGGGCAAATTGGCTTAAAAGATGTAACTAATGTATGTGTCCCTCATCAAGTGACCATTGGAAAACCTATCTCCTGGATATCTTGTGGATATTACCATTCAGCTTTTGTAACAAGTAAGATAACATTTTGGATCCATTTTATTATCTTCCATTTCTATTTTATTATCTTCCCTTTCTATATTATTAGTAAATTAAAATAATATAATCTATAGTTACATATAACTAATGCCATGGTTGTCCATGTAATGAAATGGTTTTGGCTTATTTTAGATCATAGTATTTCTACATTTCTATGGTGAGAGTTTGTAATTTCAAACTCTCTCTGACATGTTAACTTTTTAAGTGAATATTAGGTCTAATAGAAAAACAAAATTGATATGTTAGAAATTCTTCTAAACTTTGGTTTTAAAATGTCTTAGACCCTTTTGGAATTAAAAATAACACCTAGCGTGCCACTTTCCTTTGGACTCACTTGCCTCTATACATTGACCTACTCTATTCTTACTGTCCTCATGATTTCTTTTATTGTTTTAATAAGTGAGTCGTAAGCTTTTGTTTTGGGAGCCAGGATGAAGACTAGAGGAAAAAGGAAGAGACCTCAGTATGGTATGATTCTCTTTGATGGGACTTTTCTCAGCATCCCCAATTTCTCTCTTTCTTTGGCCATTGGCAACCTTTTTACCTTCATTAAAGTATCTGAAATGTTAGACTCTATTGTAGTCTATGTGTACACTGGTAATAACAGGAGAAGTATGTTTTTTTTTAACAGTAGAAACACCTAGAGAAAACAGTTTTGTGGACCCGTGTATACATCTTTCAATGTTTATTTTATACATTGACTCTTCATTTCATGCACCAAAGATTCAGTATTAGAAGGTACCAATTGACCCACCCCAGTGTTCCCCAGAGTTACCACTGAATTGATAGTAGCATGATACCAAGAAGATGGTGATGATACCATGATACCAGGGCAAACCTGATTTTATTGGAATTGTTCATCACTGTATCCCTAGTGTCTTGAACAAGCTGCTTATCAGTAAGTATTGTTGAATGAGTAAGACAGTGAATGAATGAATGGTCAAGTGATTGAATTCCTTCGAGCAGTACCAGCTACCAACTTATTGGTAACTTTATGGCTCCTGGAGTTGGTATAATATATACTCACATTTTTATGAAACAAACAAACAAAATAAAAAGCACAAATAGGAAAATAAATCAAACAAAACTCCCAAACAAAAGTATTACCTTATATTTAGGCTTTGAGAAAGCTTCCAGAATCAATCTTATTAATAAACTCTGCTTTACCCATTAGAGGAACCAGTGAAATTGTTCATTTTAACCCATAGGTATTATATTGAGTTTTTTTGTTTTTGTTTTTATGCTTAAAAAAAAAACAGCTTTATTGAGATACAAGTCACATACCTTACAATTTATCCATTTAAAATTGTATTTTTTAAGTATATTAACAGGTTTGTTCATACAGGGAACCTTTATACTAAGCATTTTGCTGATATTCATTTATATCAGATGATAGTGTACTCTTAGTCATTTTCATACTAGCCATTATTTCATTACTAATTATTTAAAGCAACTTTTTTTAAGTTTTAGAAGTAACTCAAGCCTTAGGGGTTTTACTTAATATATTTTCTGACAGATAAAAATGTTATATAGAAAAGGACTGTTGGCTTGGTGCCCGTAGCACAGTGGTTATGGTGCCAGTCACACACACCAAGGGTGGTGGGTTCGAACCCAGCCCAGGTCAGCTAAACAACAATGACAACTGCAACAACAACAACAAAAAATAGCCAGGTGTTGAGGTAGGCACTTGTATTCCCAGCTACTTGGGAGGCTGAGGCAAGAGAATCGCTTAAGCCCAAGAGTTTGAGGTTGCTGTGACATGTGATGCCATGGTACTCTACCAAGGGCGACATAGTGAGACTCTGTCTCAAAAAAAAAAAAAAAAAAAAAAAAGGACTCAGCACCTATAGCTCAAGTGGCTAAGGCACCAGCCACATACAGAGCTGGCAGGTTCGAATTCAGCCTGGGCCTGCCAAACAACTACAACCAAAAAATAGCTGGGTGTTGTGGTGGGTGACTGTAGTCCCAGCTACTTGGGAGGCAGTAGCAAGAGAATTGCTTAAGCCCAGGAGTTGGAGGTTGCTGTGAGCCGTGATGCCATAGCACTCTATCCAGGTGATAGCTTGAGGCTTTGTCTCAAAAAAAAAAGAAAAGAAAAGGATTGTTATCTTTTTCTCTTTGTATATCAAGTTTGGAGACCAAAAAGAACAGAAGAACAGTTTAATTTTTAATAAAAATGTAGACCATGTTACTGAGATAGTTGTCTTCAATACTTCCTACAGAGTTTTTAATCTACTAATGTGTTTACATGCTCATGTTCAGAATTCATATTCTCAATTCAAATTCACATTATAAATTATACAAAATATTTAATTTTTATTTTGTTTTATTTTTTTTAGAGACAGAGTCTTACTGTATTGCCCTCGGTAGAGTGCCATGGCATTACACAGCTCACAGCAACCTCCAACTTCCTGGGCTTAGGTGATTCTCTTGCCTCAGCCTCCCAAGTAGCTGGGATTACAGGCACCTGCCACAATGCCCGGCTATTTTTTTGTTGCAGTTTGGCCAAGGCTGGGTTTGAACCCACCACCCTTGGTATATGGGGCCAGTGCCCTACTCACTGAGCCACAGGCACCACCCTATTTAATTTTTAAATATTAGAATTAAAATATATAGAGTTTTAAAATATTCTTTATTTTGTGTCTTTTCATCTGATGTGTTAATGGTTGGGTCTGAGCATTTCAACTAATGATTCAGACAGTAAGAGTGAATTGGGTACAGTATAATATAGCATAAAAGTAAATGAGCTGGAATTGGGGAAACTGGTGAAATATGTGGAGAAATCTTCAGAGACTGAAGAAAAGAGATCTGCCAGTGTACTAAAGGTCAGAATTCTGGGGAAGGTGGCCATCAGAGCCAGCTTGATAGTATGAGGTATGTAGATTTTGTAGGCTCAAGTGATATAAAAATAAATTGTATGAAATAACCTATTTTGTATTCATGATAAATGTTATTTTTTTTATATAAGTAAGAAAGAGGATTTGGAATTAAATGGACCATTTCATATAGATTTAAAGCACTTACCTTTCCCTTTAAAGAGGGTCCTACTGATAGCTATAGGAAATATCTTTTGTTACCCTTTATAGGTAAACATTTACTTTAAAAAGCTGATGTTATGAGAAAAATTGAGCAACTAATGGATGTTTCTTATGATACCAACTTGATTTCAACATAGTAATTACTCTTCTGGTGTTTATAGTCTACAAGCTAACTACAGGATGTATAACTTTTCCATGTACAAAGCATTTTCAAGTACAGTTATATTTCATTTAATTTCACAACTCTGTGAGAGAGGTGATGGTATCTCTGATGTCAGATATGGAGCCAGGTTAGAATATTGCTTATCCAAGGTGATGGTACAACTGAATTGCAGAACCAGAATTCAACCCCAATCATCAGACTCTAAGGGTCTGGATGACTTTTACTGGCACACAATTTCTCTACAGGCAGAAGAGGAGGAGGAGGATGTGGTAGCAATTGATAATGATTGGGCACTGATATTGTGCTCTGAATAACTTTGAATGTATTAATTCATTTATTTTCTGAAACAACCCTATGACATAGGCACGTTTATCCCTGTTTTACAGGCACAGCAAGTGAGTAACTTGCTCACTATGACTCAGTGGATAAGTGGCAGAACCCAGATGAAACAAGGCAGTTTGGCTTTGTAGCCCATGCATTTAACCATTATGCTATACCAATAACTATAATTTAAAACAGACCATAAGCAGTAATAGGACGTTTGATAGAGAGTCTTCTGTGAGATCAAAGACATGATTATTTCTGGTTAGGGGCACACAGACATATTTTAGAGGAAGTGTGGTATTTGAGATTAACCATGAAAGATGGAAAGGTAAAAGTAGAGGTGAGGGAAAGACAGTTAAGGCAGAGAAAAAAACACGTGCAGAGGTAATAGAGACAGAAAAGTAAATTGTGTGTTCGGAGATTATTGCACAGCTGAGTTTGTTCAGAGGTTAGAGCACAGGTTCCTACATAAGGATCATAGATTCTAAAGGAATCTGAATGCCTGAAATGATCTGCTAAATTTGGTATATGCATTTTTTTATAGAGCTGTCATCAAATCTTCAAGGGAAGGTCTGACTCAAAATGGAATCACTGGCATGGGAGTAGATAGCAATATGATTAGTGTAGGAGTCTGGGGACCTAATATAGAAGATCTTTTGTAACAGTCTACAGAGTTTATACTTGAAAAATATTTTTTTGAATTTGGAAGTATCATAATTAGACCTGCTATGTTATCTCTTTCCTCACACTAATGGTGATATATTCTATGTTATTCTTTAGCTTAGATTGTATATTTACATAAGTTTTTAAATTTCTGCTTTATGCGACTCAGTTAATTTCATGGAAATGAGTAAGAGAGTTCCTGCTTTCAAGAAGTTCACAGTCATAGTGTGATAAATGTAATAAAGAAGCAAATCAGTAGAGTCAGTAGAGACAAGGCATTAAGTGCTCCATGATCAAAAGAGGCATTCTGGAGGAAGTTTTATATAAATAGGTAAAATCTGCTGTGTTAAGATTTACTCAACATACTTCACACATAAGTGAGTTTTCTAAAACAAGTTTCACTGAAAGTAATCATTCATTGATTTATTCAACAAGTACTTGTTCTAGACCAATGGTTCTCAACCTGTGGGTCATAACCCATTTTTTCAATTTGTAACAACATGGCAATTAGGAAAGTTGAGAACCACTGTTCTAGACATTCTGCTTGGTTTAGGGGGTACCATATGGAGTAATACAAAATCTGTGTGGTTATTGGAGCTTAATACCTAATCATTTTGCTTTATTAAAAGTAAGTTGAAGATGCAAGATGGTTTTTACTATGTTTTGTGAAAGAGCTAAAATGATTTTCTAGTTGTTTATTAGTAATGATGGTCATGAATTTTTTGTTAAAGGTTATTTGGTTAGAATAATTAAGGGGAAAAGAAAATCTTAGCTTTATTTCCTTACCATGTAGTAAAGATATCTTAAGAAAGGACAAATGTATTAAGTTGTCATTGTCCAAATTTTTCACTGGATGTGAGAAAATGAAAAAAAAGGCTAGGATTTTGTTCATATTTATGTCATCATTGATCACTATCATTTTCCTTCAATAGTAGATGGTGAACTGTACACATTTGGAGAATCTGAGTCTGGGAAATTAGGTCTTCCCAGTCAGCTGCTGACCAATCACAGAATACCTCAGCTGGTGTCTTCAATTCCTGATAAAGTGATTCAAGTAGCTTGTGGTGGAGGGCACACCTTGGTTCTCACAGGTATATGCATGGAGTCTGCTGCTCTATCCCTTCCTTTCTATGATAGCTAATGAAATTTTTCAGTGTTCATTTTTTTTATTGTGGTAAGAACATTTATATAAGCTTTACCCTCTTGATAGATTTTAAGTATATTATAACATAGTATTGTTATATATAGGTACAATGTTGTCCAGCAGATCTCCAAAACTTAGCTTGTATAACTGAAACTCTATGCCCCTTGTATATATCTCTTCCCTCTCGTTTTCCCTTTCCCTTTTCCCCTTTTTCCCCCAGCCCCTGGCACTCACCATTCTTAGCTTTTATGAGTTTGACTCTTTTAGATACCTCATGTAAGTTAACTTGCATCTCTCTTCCTTAAGATCCCTACCTTTTATTCCTATATATCTATTTCTGGACTATGAAAGATTTTTTTTTAAGTAGAAAAGAGTGAATCTTGAATTGTTTTTGCTAGTATAGTTGACATTTTCATGACCTTAATACCTTTAATAGCAGCATATTTCATTGCTTTTAGCTCGGTATCAGAGGAAAACTTTTACTCATATATATGTAATATATATATGTGTGTGTGTATGTGTGTGTATATACATATATATATGTATATACACACACATAGTCTATTTATCTAAAATTGATGCTTTTTCTGAAATAGTATTTTTGGAGAAGCTCCCTGTTCATGCTATTTTCTACATGTCCCTGATAATTCTTTTCTTTGTGATAGTCACAATGTATAATAACTTGAGAATTTCTTTGTGGTTTTATGTTCTAATTCATTAAGAACTGATAATGGTTATAAATTACAGATAATAAAGAAAGGACTTTAATAGTAGTGTCACTTTTGTCTTCTGAATTTCATGTTTGGTATCATGTGTCATTTCTCAGGATTCTAAACTCTGTATTGGAATATGTTCATTACTTGTTAATATGCTTATTAAGTTGATACTTCCAAATTTGTTTAGCATTAGATTTTTTTTTTAGGTGAGTGGTATAGTGGTGATGCAGTTATATGGTGAATTATTATGATATTTTTTGCTCAAAAAGAAAGTAACAGTTTCTAAAGTCATCACTTAATCGTCAGTTACCCAAAGTTAGAAATGTTCTAGAAGATATTTGAAGCCAGACATATTGTAGGACTCCATTTTTATGAAATTCAAGGAAAGACAAATTGAATTCAAGTATCAGAAAGCATATCACTGGATGCCTGGGGCATGGGGTGGGAGTGAGGATTGACTTGAAACAGGAGTAGGGGCCTGTTTGGGGTGGTGGAAATATTCTATATCTTGCTTGTGGTGATGAATATATGGATATGTGCATTTGCCAAAACTCGTGGAACTGAAAAAACGTTTTGAGTAATATCCAGTTCTTAATGTTGTAGGGTTAGTGAACAGTATTTTATCTTTAGATTTCCCTTACTGATACTGCTTTTCCTCAGCTTCCTCTTCTACTCTCAATCATGCTTATTAATTTAAGCTTTGGTTTCCCAGAATTACATTTTCCAGATGAAATCTTTTCAAAGTTAGAATTGTTTTCATAACCTCTACTCTAAATTTAAAAATTATTCTGAGGTTCAGGATTTTTCAGAATTCTTGCTGATGAAATGAATTTTCATGTAATTTCAAAAAGATGTACTCTAGAAATTAAACTTGGAATTTAATCCTTATATATTATCTGAAAATTCATTCTGTAGGCAAAAATGAAACTTATTCTTTATGTTATGCATTTCTCTAGTTTATGTAAAATTATAGAAATAATTTATTCAAGGTTATCCTGGACACATGTGTTGATTATATAATAATAATAACAATGTCATTCAATTATACATTATAAAAATTTTCATATAAAGTGAACAAGATAATTCATGACACTTTTAATTATACTTAAAAATAAACTTCAGTGTGATTTTTTTTTTTTGCAGTATTATAGATTTCTGTGGATTTTCTTTTGAGGTTCAAAATCCTGTTCTTAGAAATTGATAGCTCTCTTTAAATTTTTGCAGACTTTAGGATCTTAACAGACAGTAAAGTTTATTTTAAATTATGTGATATATCTATTTGACAAACATGGAGCAGTTGTTGTCTGCTGCTAAGGTTTCCACTACAAATGCATGAAAAAGTATCTTTGCACTTCCTGTCTATCTGAGTGTGGCAGCCAAGATGAATGGGGGAATACAGGAGTAAAAGTTGGTAATACAGGGAAAAACATAGATGATTTTTGTAATTTATAAGTAGTCTTGTAAACAGTGAAGAGATTGTTTTACTCCAAAGAAGAATTTAAAATTTGAGTTAGAAATTGTGAGAATCAACAGATAGTTGCCACTTACTGATCTGTTTACATATGGGCATTAAAAAAATGATTGTTTTCACTATCATAAGATAAGGGACATTTTCAAAACAAAAAATAAAAAGTTCTTAATTGTATAGTGAAGGATACCTCCTTAAAATACTATAAACTTATCTATATAGAAAATTCACTACTTTGCTTAGCACTTTTCACGTTCCTCTGTGGCCCTGTGAGAGCTTTATCATGTATGAGACAGCCCTGGTGTAGGAGCTTTACTTACGAATAAATCTAGCATATCTACCATAAGATTTCATTCTCAAGACAATTCTCTGAAGTTGTATTTTATAAAATAGATTATTAAACTACTTTCAAAAGTAAGTTTTTCTGAAGGAAATACTATTTTCTTTTGTTTGAAGCAGTAAAGGGAATTAGCTTAGTGAAAATTGATGCTTATTGGAGTGAGACGATAATTATAAGGACATTTCAGGTAGTTCCCCAGCTTATGTATCTCATATTATACCTTGGCTTACTTACATCAATTACTTTTATGAGTATATATAAAATATAAAACCAAATACATGCTATAATTTTTATAGTTGTGTGCCTTTTCATTTTCCTCTTCTTTTATCATTGAAAAATTTGTACTTCAGTATTAAGCATTTTATATGGCTTTTTTTCATAGTTACTTAATCATTATGAAAGGTTGAATGTCACAATATTTGTAGATATGATGATGACAGTGTCAGCTTTTATGCACTATTTTTCTTGTATTTGCCCCTTTCCTTTCAGAGGAATCTGTGTATGCCTTTGGGCTGGGACAATTTGGTCAGCTGGGTCTTGGCACTTTTATTTTTGAAACTTCAGAACCCAAGGTCCTTGAGTACGTTAAGGGTGAGAAAATAATTTCTATTTCCTGTGGAGAAAATCATACAGCTATGATAACAGGTATGAATTAGAATTTCTGTGATATGTTTATAGAATTGGGTATATTTTGTTATAAAATAAATAATATGTGAAATGACTGTATCTACATTAAATAAAGTAATGAATTACCAAGCAATTGGAAGTTCTTGTTTAATATTCCAAAGTATAATGTTGCAAATGACTTTTTACTATTTTAATTCAATTTAAAATAAATATAAGTGATCCAAAGATTTAGAACCTCAGAAATAGGCCAGTCAGAAGTAAAACCATTGTATTATACTTTGGTAAAAGGCTGGAATATTTTGAAATTGTATAAGTTTGAAGATTCTTAACTTTGTTCAAACCAGAGGAGAAAATGCCACAAGAAGAAATTTATTTTAAAACATTTTTCCTGTTTAATCTGACAGAGCTACGTTCAGGCTGAGTAAATTCTTAAGTTTTTGCCACTAGGAGGCATTTTCAGGAATACTTACTCTAGCAACGAAAATAACTTTATGGTTGGGGATCACCACAACATGAGGAACTGTATTAAAGGGTCGTGGCATTAGAAAGGTTGAGAACCACTGATCTAGTGGTATCTGGTTAGGGAAACTAGGATTTAGCAAATGCATTACTGTTTATTCTTCTCCAAAGAACCTTTCGGAGAGGGTAAACTGCTGATTATAAAGTTTGATGCTTTTGTTAATGTAGCATGAATTAGCATTATGTAGAATGTAAAGAAGCATTTATTCATTTATCATCCTGTAAGAATTGTTGGTATGTATTCCTTATTGTGGAATCCTAATCTCAGTCTCTCTGTCTTTAGAGTCATTTTTCATCAACTCTAAATTTCCATTGATGTTAATATACACTGCTTTTTTTGGAATTATCTAATATGTAATTGGATTATTATTTAATTTTTTGTAGTGTCTTTACTACTGATGAAAAGAGTTATAGCACAAATAATTGAATGTTAACTTTGTTTGCCTTTTTGCTCATCAAAAAGTCCTCTCCAGGGGACAAGTATTACAGAATTTTTTTTCCTCCACGACTAATGAGAAGTATATAGTAAGTTCTTGCAAATTCCACATTATGGCCAGTGGATCATATTTTAAAAAAGCCCTCTGAAGTTGGAAATACAATTGGGCAGCTTGAATAACTTATTTTTTTCAGGCAAAATACAATCAAATTAAAAAGGCAAGCCTTAAAAAGTATTTTGGATGAAAAAAATCAGGATCAAATAAAGGAAAAAGGGATAAAGGCAATGGAGTTTTTATAGTGCAAATAAATACTTAATAGTGAAAATTATAGGTCTCAAGATTCTAAACACTGGCTATCATTTATGGGGAATTTGTTTTTAAATTACTAATTTGTCAACCTGACACCTTACCGAACTGTTATTATTTAAAATCATTTTTAGTCAATTCTCTTGAATTTGCTTCGTATGTAGTCACTTTGCTATCTTAAACCAGAAGTCTGCAGATGTGATCCAGTCATTCCCCAGCTTCAAACCATTCATTTAGCTTCTTTCTTTCCTTAAAATATAGTTTAAAATTCTTAATCTGAATAAGATGCTCTGTGTTGTGGTTTCTTCCTACCTCTTTAGACTCATACCACTCTCTTTGTGCTTTAGGGCAATTGATTGCCTTTCAGCTTCTTGCCTGAGTCATGCTTACTCTTGATTCGGAGCCTTTCTATTTACTGCTGGATCTGCCTAGAAGATTCTTTGTTCCCTTCTTCTTAAAGCTAAACCCTACTCATCCTTTAGGTTTTACTTTGAAACCCTTCCCTAATCCCCATATTAGAGGGAAATTCCTCTCTGCTATACCCTATTAACACCCTTTACTTCTCATTTGCTTTCACCCTACTTGAGATGGAGGGTATGAAAGAAAGAGGCCATAGGGGAGCAAAGGTTCAGAATAGCTGCTATGGCAGTAGATAAAAGGATTAACTGGAGAGAAACAGCAAGATTATTCATCATGATCATGAGCCAGATATTGGTATAGGAACTATCACAGTTAGCATGGTCGGCTTATGGCATTTCCTTTGGCAGCACTTTGCAGCCCAGGAGCGAAATTAGTAAAAGAGATAGTTGGATTGATCTAAGCCAGTAGTTCTTTACTAGTGATGCTGTCTGGAGACATTTTTGATTGTCACATCTGCATGGGAGGGGTGTTGTTCTACTGGAATTTAGTGGCCAGAGGCTAGAGATACTGTTAAACAGCCTGCAATGCACAGGACAGACCCACATGACCAAGAATTATCAGTAGTACCAAGATTGAAAAACTGATCTATCAAGAACCTTAGGAAGAAAGAAAACAGAATCTGTTGGGATGTAGCGAGTCAGGATATAAACATCTTTCCTCTTGAGAACATGTTGTATATCACAAGATCTCATGCTGTGTTGCTGCTACTTCATACAGTGCCTTGCACACAAAGCTTCAACATCAAAAACCATGAATATCTATAATATGCCTGATGTGCAGGACCACAGAGGCCATGGACAGTATGGAAAGATCAATGGATCTGAGTAAATTAAAGACAGAATTTGAGGGGAAAATTACATTTGCAATGTAAGTTAACATATTTGTCTGTTTACAAATACATAAGTAACACTTTTAAAATTCTCTTCATTTTTTTTTGTATTTTAGATACAGGTGGTATATATACTTTTGGAGATGGTCGACATGGAAAATTAGGACTTGGACTAGAGAATTTTACCAATCGGTTCTTTCCCACTCCCTGCTCTGTTTTTTTGAAGTTTATGGTTCAGTTGGTAAGAGCATCATATTTCCCTGTTTGTATTTTCATGTTCCTATATTTGAGTATTTCAGTATTTCATAGAAAATAAGTACTTTTATGTTTATATGAAAGAATATCATGGATATATTTAATATATATACTAGTTTCCTCAAAGCCAAATATCAGACATTATGCCATTCTGAAAATATTTGTCTTTCCTAATTTTTTTCTTTTAGCATCTTCCTTTTTATACAAATCATTGTTCTTCTGCTTCATTCTCATATGTTCCTTAAAAGCTGGGGCTGTGCTATGCCTAATAACCTTTGTATCTTGTGTGATACCCTGCCCATTGAGTACCTTGCTCACAGTAGTCCTCAGTAGATACTTGTTGAATAAAATGTTCCTAAGACTCTCAAATCTGCACAAGCGAAATTCTGATAATAAATGAAAAGTTTTGAAAATATGTTTTTTGGCTAAATTTTATTACAACAAAAATGTAATTATTTCAGTTTCACATCACTGTAAGGCATTATATTATTTCTAATACTATTTGTCAGTTAAGAACTATAGACTTTTGAAAATTCTATTTAATTGGTGATAATATCATCACTTAAAATTTGTTCTCCAAAGACTAAGGGCTCATACTATGAAACACTTCTATTTATTGATCTGACAGTTGTTTAATGAAAGCCTTCTTTAAGATACTATACTAAATAGTAGAGATACAAAGTACTGGATACAGTGGGGAACAAAATGAGGGAGTCCTCATTTATTGAGCTTAGAGTCTTATGAGGGATGATCATTTTTAAAAGTGATATACAAAAACATACAAATTTTAAATTTGGAAATATGAAGGAAAGGTCCAAGAGTATGCTATTTTTATACCACCATGTAGAACACTGTACACTGAACACTGTAAAATGGCTAAAATCTGTGCTTGTTTTGTCAGCACATATATTAAAATTGGAACAATACAGAGAAGATTAGCATGGCCCCTGTGCAAGGATGACATGCAAATTTGTGAAGCGTTGCATATTTTTTAAAAAATGGCTAGAATCTATGTATTTAAAGTATCACACTATGATTCTGTAGCATTTTCTTGAACATTTATTTTTCAAAATTCTTTGAATATTGATTTTATTTTTTATTGTTCCATCATGCATGCTTATGTTTTCCTCTAAAGACATTTGAACATTAAACTTAATAAGTTTGGAGGCATAATTATCCCAAGAGACTGATTTATTCTTAGGTCTGTAAGAGATAGGATCCCTTTGCTCAAGATATGGCAGTTCGCTTCAACGTGCTCCCTCTGGAGACTATTTCTGAGAAGCATTTCCTTGAGGATCTGAGCTTCTACACCTGCCTTTTGATGTGCAGGAACACGAAGAGTGACTCTCCCTAGGGGGTGTGGAGAAACAGCCCAGGTGTTAGCTGGGGGTGGACAGACCAGTCTTGGAGCATTGGGTTCTATTCTCTGCCTTCCTCCTTCATTAGCATTATAATGTGTAACTTTACCTTGGGCGAGCGAGGACCGACAGCCAGGCTCCAAAATGTTTTACTCTAAACAAAATTAATTGTATATGTGTTCCTCAGCCTTCACACTAAATTGTAATCTTAAATGGTTGCTTCTTCATGGTACTTGACTTCTTTGTATATGCGTTAAATTCTTACTAAATGTTGGAAAGTATATAAGATAATCAGTAAAGTTTAGCGGGGCCGCTGACCAGAGCGAGTCCCAGTCTCCCTTGAATATTCATTCCGTCTGCAGTTCTTTCCCCTGCGTCACCGGATCAGAAGCTCCAAGGAACACACAACAACATAGGTCATTATTTTTTTCTCAATAGACCTTTTCTGAGTAATTTTTTCAACTTTTTAATATTGGTCCCAGTTTAAAATATAACATTTTCTAACTTGTAAGGAGAAATGTAATGTGCCAAGTATTTTTTACTCCATTTTATATTAAATTGAAAGTAAACTAGTGGATTCAACTTGTTCTAATTCTTAATCGTAGTGTTTAAAGAAGATGTATTATAATTTATAAACTACATATTATAATACATATGTGAATATAATAGGTATGTGTGTATAGAGGGACCAAGTCAGTCAAGGAAGTCTGGTGCTAAGTAAAGGTCTAATAGCTGATAACTGTTAAAAACCCACTTGGGTTTGAAGCCAGTGTTGATTAATTTTTCCTGTGAATTTATGCCATAGGTTGCTTGTGGTGGATGCCACATGCTAGTCTTTGCCACTCCCCAAGCTGGTATGGCAGAAGAACTCGAATTTGAGGCAACAATTGATTCTGGTTTACCTGCCCCAGCTTTTCGGCCCTTTGGCAGTCTGACCTCAGGAAACACACTGACTAGAACTCTGTCAGCACGTGTGCGGCGAAGAGAGAAGGTACAATCAAAGGCCTACTTTATTTAATAATAGTATTACTTTACACTGCAAAGAAAACGTGAAGGAAAAAAAAAATCCTTTCAATCAAAGGAGAGTCTTCCCAGACAAACGTGCTGAATAAGATTATTAGAATTGAGGGCTTCCAAATATTTAAAGTGAATTCATAGTTAAGTTGTTCCTACTCTTTTTTTTTTTTTTTTTTTTGAGACAGAGTCTCACTTTGTCATCCTTGGTAGAGTGCTATGGCATCACAACTCACAGCAACCTCAAACTCTTAGGCTCAAGCAATTTTCTTGCCTCAGCCTCCCGAGTAGCTGGGACTACAGGCGCCCACCACAGCGTCTGGCTGTTTTTAGAGATGGGGTCTCGATCTTGCTCAGGCTGATCTCAAACCTGTGATCTCAGGCAGTTCCACCTACCTTGACCTCCCAGCGTGCTAGCATTATAGGCATGAACCACTGTACCTAGCCATAGTTAAGCTGTTAAAGATATAAATTAGAACATTCAAATTCTCATGGATAACCTTTGCATACATATAGACAGTGGTACTATATAAAACATTCTTGAATAGGCCTATTTTTTTAACCTCAGATTGAATGTTGAACTGTATTTTTCAACTGCATGTAGATTGACTTCTATTTTAACTTCATACATGCTTTTTTATTATTGTA